GATGCTCCCTGAGCGCTTGCCCCTGGCCAGGCCTGTGCAAAGGGTATGGCAGGTCAGGTGACCGAGGCTTGAGGGGACTGAGTCACTTGCCCACGGTCACAGCTTGTCGGGCTGAGCTACTCCACGGCACACCGCATCTGGCCCCTGCCTTTCGCTGCCTCCACTTCTGCTGCCTCCATGGTTTGTTTCCTGCCAACCACTCAGCCAGGGAGCAGCCCTGGTTGCATTCTGCATGGTGACCCACTGGCCCATCATTGGTCCATGAGAAGTAAGCAAGGTCACCTGAGGGTTTCCCCCCTCCCACCTGTTCCAAGATGAGCCTTTGGGCTCAGGGAACCTTCCACATGGCCCTCCTCCCTCCTCCTGTGTGCTCTCTCCCATGTCTGTCACGCCTGGGTACTTGGCACTGCACGTCTCCTAGAGAGAAAATCCTGGGGTTTTCCCCAGAGCTATAAGAAAGGCGGTGGGGTGGAAAGACCATGATTCAGGCCCCCCACCTACTGGGCAACCTCTGAGTAACCCCGTAACCTCACTCCCAGCCTCAGTTTCCCTATCTGCAAAAGGGGGGCCATTCCATATCCATTCATTCATCGGATTGTTGCGCAAAAGGAGAGACCCGAGCTCACATGTATGGTAGGAGAACTGGACTGGTCAATTACAGATCTCAGCGGCAGTGGGGGAGGCCACGGGAAATCTAAGAACTCGGTGGAAGAGGAACAAAAGCCAACACTTTAGAAAGTCCGGGAAGGCTTTCTGGCGGAGTGGCCTCCAAAGCAAACCCCCCGGGAGAGCTAACAAAGGAAGGAAGGGAACACCATGTTGTACCACTCTGTATCCTCTCTCAGTCTCCTGGGCAACGTTTACAAGGTTGCTCTAATCATTGTGAGCGCTCGTAGTTTCATATTCGTTTGTACCCACAGTCTGGTCAAGAGAGAGAGAAAAATCAGGTTATTAAGGCTGTTTGGGACCCTTTCTGTGGTGTGGAGACCTCATTGCTGGCTTAAAATCGTTAAAGTGCATCATCTGGGTAGCTTTTCCCAACTAGGGAAGCTCAGTCTCAGTGCTTCCTTTCAGCCTGTACATCACTCAAATGCACCTTTCTTAGGTGTTTGCTAATAGAACCATTTTCTTCAGAGCAGGTTTCAGTGGCTCTTCTTTTAAAACAAAATCCAGATCCTCCCTCCGCCATGACCTGGTTCTGGCCCACTGTGTGGTCCCTCCTTCCATGCCCAGGTGTCCTGGGCCAGGACCCTGAGCTCTGACTGCAGTTCTCAGAATGGGCCGTTCTCCTCGGAACCCCCACACTGGTGCCTGCACTGGAGTGGCCACCCCGCAACAACCATCACTCCTCCCTGACTCCTCCAGACGGCCAGTTCCTCCCTCTGCCTCTGCCGTAGTTCCCTGACACTTTGCCCGTTTCGCTCTGGGAACAGTCCCCGCCCTTCATCTTGCAGCAATAATGGGGTCACAGGTGTGTCTTCTCCACCCTTCCCCTGGCATGTAGCACAGGGCAGGCCTGGCCAGCGCTGGAGCTCAGAGGGTATTTATCACATTACTCTGTGTGGGTGTGAGGGACTGTTTGTGGGGCTGCTGGCAGGCTTGACGGCTGTCTTCTCTTTTCCAGAGCCAGTACAAGTTTGTGTGTGAAGCCATTCTTCGTGTTTATGAAGAAGGCTTGGTCCCAATGCTGGATCCCAGCTAAGGCAACTGAAATGCTCGTTCCTCTTTCCAAGGGCATCCTCCATAAGGACAGACCTTCTCTTTGGAAGCAGCAAGAGGAATCTGTAGGCCGTGGTGTGGGAGAGGAGAGGGCACGTTGAACCCAAGCACTTTAAATTTCTATGAAAAAGGAATCGTGTACATAGGAACTGTGTAGATACGCATGCGGCGGTAGCATCATTTAGGCCCGTGATTCCTCCGGAGAGAAATGCGCAAAAGGGGGTCTCCGTTTGGGGCCTGTCCCACTGCCTTCCTCCCCAGACATCACCGTGATCCTGTCAGCCATCTTTGGGCATTCGAGAGGGGACGCCAGCAGCGCTGTGACCTCCCAGAAACAAGATGGTGAGACGATTTGGAGGCACGTGGATGCTCTGTGTGTATATGTGTGCAGGACTCTGAGAGCCGAGCTTTCTGTGCCTCCAGGCCGAGGTGGAACAGGGAGCGGTCACCACCGGATGCTAACGAAACTGAGATGGATGTACCCAAGGGCAGGGGGCGGGATTTCCGGCTGACGGATGAGCAGTACCTTTCCTGCCTCCCCTTCCTTTGTCCCTGCCTCCCCTTCCTGCGCCTCTGACTTTCTTGGTCCTCAGAAACGTGCCCAAACGCCCCGCTTTCTGCCTGCCTTCGTGGACCGTCTTCAGGTTCACACGCAGTGCCTGGACCGGATTAGTCATGTAGGTTCAGGTGAGTTTTCAGTCGAGACTCTGAGAGTGAGGATGTGGGGTGTTGTCTTGGTGTCTGGGTGTTGGTGGTCAGAGCAGGTGCTGCTCACCTCTGTCCGCCTCTCGCTGTGCTGTCGGCGCCCAAGACTGGAATCGTCAACTACTGAATCTACTACATGGATTGCTGCTACTTCAAGCTATGACACTTGAAGCATTATCATTTTCCTGAGGGGAGACGGGATATCATCTAAATATTCAGAATCTTTGGCCCTTCTGAGGAAAGATCTTCCAGCCATTGCACCATGGGAAAGCCAGCTCTAGATGGCTGTCGGTGGGTGTGGGTCGACGGGTGTGCACCCATGGCTGAGTGTTTCTCAGGATTCCTAACTTCATTCAAATGACAGTGGAGTTTATGTAAAGAATGAGTCTCTGTATGGAACAAATGTGTGCATTCACCCTCGGTTACAATGGTCTCCATTTCATTTCAAAGGAGAGGATCAGACTATCTGAATATAAACACGAGTTGATGTTAATTTATTCTAAGTATGCCATGATTCTGATTGTCCTCAAGAATTCTGCCTTTGTTAATCCTGTGTTCAATTTTTAAAAAGTCTCTTGACAGGATTGTAGCAAATTATTATTTAAGGAAAATAAACCACAAAGGAAATGTAATGTGGTATGTTTAAGTCGCGGTTTTTATGTATTCAGAAGAGGAAGCTAAGGCAGTTTCTTAATGGGATTTATAGAAAAAGGATGCTTTTCTATTATAGTGCACAGAAATGAAGCCATTTTGATGTCTAAGAAAACTCTAGACCAATTGAATAGTTTCCTGGTTGCAAGAGGAATAAAGACCTTTATCTCCAGACCTAGTGTATTTACTTGCATACTTCCCATCTTTTCCCCACCCACCATTATTTTACAGCTAAATGGCAGGGGTGGGAGGGAGGTGCTATACCGTGCTGTAACCCTGTACTGTGGAACAGGTGACCACCTGAGCCCCATCCTTGTCAGCATGGTACCAGGCTAGCAGGAGGAAGCAGGAGAGTAGAGTGAAGCAGTGGGAAATCAGTTCCTGGTTCCACTCATCGGTAACTAGCTCCAGGCCTGGTCACTTAGGAGCACTGTCTCTACTTCCTCATCTACAAATAGGAGAAATCATACTGAGGACTTTAAGTTTATGATGAATTTTCATCCACTGGAATCTGCCACTGCTGTGGACAAATTACGTGGCAAAGTTAACTTATCAGTGATTTGCCCCAAATCCCATGGAACAGAAGTAGGGTCGTATGGGTTTCTGTAAGAGAAAGTTGCTTTTCTTCTGGAAAGAACAGAAGTACAAAGGAATATCATACCTTCATTCAGTCTGGACTCAGAAAAATTCTGTCCACAAAGCACCAAAAAAAGAGGCAAGGCAGAAAAGCTGATGTAAATTTAAATGCCATCAGGATATTTAGCAAATCATTGTCATCTGATAAAAATGCATCGTCCTGTCTGCAAAAAGCTTGAGAAGTCTAAATGTGTTTACAGATTTGTATTTTGTTTTTTAATTGTTCAATATGGTTGCAGAAATGTTGTTATTATCACATAAATTTCTAAGAAGCTTACCAAAGGTTGCAGCTAGCCTTTTTCTGCCCCTGTGCAGGCTGTTAATTCAGACCCAGCAGATGTTATCAGGAACAAAAACCACAAAATACTGGGGATGCACAAGATAAGGGAATTACCTGAAGGGGCAAAATATTGCAAGTAAATATTGTAGATACTACTGATGAAATTCTGTAACTCAAGATTTCTGCTCTACCACCTTACACACTTGAGCAATTATACTTAAGAAGCCTTTTTTTAGTTGTAAGT